TTTTTTTTTTTTTTTTTTTTTTTTTTTTTTTTTTTTTTTTTTTTTTTTTTTTTTTTGCTGCAATGATAATGATTTGCTGTTGACTACATTATTTCCATTGTACTTAAAATTGTAGGCTTTACAGTACTACACTTGTTTGTTACATATTTTCATGATTGAGTTATTGTTTTCCTAGGTAAAAGTTATTTACTTATAAATACTTGTTAATATAACTTTGAAAGAATAATTGTCTGTCTTACTTTCCTTAACAATTAATATGCCTCAAATGTAGGAAACAATGTACTTATTAGGTGTTTGACGTCATTTTTTAGTGCAGTCTTAGTTCATTTTGTATGCATTTAAGGAGTGCTCTGGTACGATGATGTATTGCTCAGGTTTAATAGATAAAATATTTTTATTTTAGTTTAGTTTTCATTTTCAATTTTGATTGATGACATTATATATTATTTCATTCATTATTTTAGTACATTGTCCACTTCAAACTGACAGACGCATGTGCCCGCGTTTAGAAGCTGACCTTTTGATATTACTTGTTGATTGTGGTAGAAAGCGTATAACAAATAATTTTGCTTTGCTAGAACGGTTAAATATACTTCGTTCACAATAAGATTAGGTGATGCGATGTTGATGGCTAGAATTCTAACTTCCTCATAGATAAGGCAATCTACCATACTATTCTTTTTATTAACTTGTAAATATTAGAAATCTTTGAGAAATTGTATTAAGATAAATATTGTCTTGAACAAGGGAAATTATTTGTTCCTTGTAACTTCATGGTCTTTTCTTTACTAGCTTCTGATTAAGTCGATCTGTGTAACTAGATTGTCGGTGAAGGAAATGCTATTTGCTATCTTTATTATTATCTACCTTGGGTTTAAATCCAAGACTTCATTTGACCATCTATACTTCAATTTGGGGGAACACATTTGACTTATGCTGTATCAACTAAGGTATTAATGTCGGAGTTGCATGCTTAATTTTGGATAAATGGTTGCATTCATCTTTTAATTAATGGATTTTCCTTGAATCTATCTCTGTTAATCTCTTGTTAAATTATGGACACTAAATGGTATTTGTTGAATAAAGTGAATGAAAGAATCCATGTATAGTTATCTTATAGGTGAGTCGTTGCCAAGTCACACATTGTCTGATTAGATTGGTAAAAAAATCGTACGTTGACCTCTCAATGTAAACACTCTATCGGCTGTAAAGAGAGCATGAATCACCCTATTATCTCAAAAGAGACCATGGGTGAAAACCTCTTCCATTGTAGCCCCTGCACTATTGGATCGAGTTCAAACTGCCACAACAAATTTACAGCCACATTAAACATACTTGTAACCTTTTGAGGTCTTCCTACACACATTACACTTACAAATACTATCAATGCCGCAAATTTTCACATGGGAACCCTACAATGTAAAGAATCTAACCTTTTGGAAATACACACCTTCAAAAAAAAGAAAACAAAATGGAAGTAGGGGATGGGGCCTACATGCTAAATCAGATTTCCTTATTATTCCTGTGGATTCCCAGTAGCTATGAGAATGCCAAATTGTGATATTTTCCTTTTGTTCAATGCTAACTTTTATTAGGCTAATCATAAATCTCATCAAATTTACTTTGCATACAGTTGAGTTGTTCACTGCCACATGAAATTTGTTTCAACCTTTATTATCTCTTGCTTGTTACTTATCATAAGCCACACCTCATCAAATATATCTCTCTAGAATTATGTGAAATGAGAGATATTTTAGGAGTGTTGAAAGGCCGTGGGAAAAGGTGTAGGCTGTATCTATAAGTCTGATGCTTCTCTTTGAGCTTTCGTACCTACAGACTTTTGTAATTACCCTCTTGATCTTCTTATTTTGGATTGGAGTATTTCTTCTTTTTATCCGTTTAGGTTTTTAGATGTTGTTTTGGCTCCATTTTTGGGCGTTGGATTTGTATTCGTTCATTTGTTTTCAAAGAAAGCTCGATTTCTATAGAAAAAGAAGAAGAAGAAAGTGAAATGTAGTCTGAGAAATTTTTTTACAAGTAGCTGATTAATTGCTTTTCTTTGAAATGTTTTTTTTTTTTTTAAATAAAATAAAATAAAAAGTTCTATTGCATTTCCAATGCATTATTAAACACTACAAAATTAGACCAGGACCTTCAATTTTCTGAAACAGAAATTGTGCCAAAGCCACTTTACATTGCCTAAATTTGTTTATTGTCACTAACAGCCATACTTCATTTCTTTTGCGAAGATATATATGTTGTACCAAGTAGGCATTGCATTTTAAACTATTGAATGGTATTGGGAGGCAGAAGCTTTCTCTTTCCAACAAGTTTGGATTCACCACTAAATTCCAACTTCCATATCCCTCTTTACAATTACAGATTATATCATATCAAACTCTCTGAAAGTGAACGAGGAAGCAGACTTGGTCTCGAGTGAGTGAGTGCTAACACTGTTGTCATTCCCCCTTTTCCCAACTAAATCTCCCATGATAGTAGACTTCAAAGTAGCAATCATACGTCAAGGCAGAAATAGGAAGACTTATTGTGTGTACTGCCAAATTTGTTGAAAAGATTGAACTATGACCATTGGAACTTAAGTGCATGCATCTATTCCAAATATTAACAAAATAATAATAATTAAAAAAAATAAAAAAAATAATCAATAAAATAGAAAACCATTATGGTTCCATGACACTCGGTGGAGTGCAAGCCTGCTGTTTGATGTATATTACTGCCTTTGGTGTTTGCACGTTTGGCTTAGTCATTTCTCATTCAAATACCCCAGTGACTACTGCCTGCTATTTGGTATTTGCTATTTTGGTTTTTAACCATATGAATGTGGGTTGCTCTGTTGAAATTATTAGAAAAGTTTCTTCTTATCCTGTACAATTTAGAATCTACTAGGGAGCAGCAGGGAGGATGATATATTTCAATACAGTTGGATAGGGTTGGGTAAGTTGGAAGATATTGTTCTTATTAATGGTGTGAATGGAATGCTCATTTGGGCTGGCATAGGGTTCTGGTTTCTGACTACGGAGAACTATTAGATATCAAAAGTTTGTATTGCATGAGCACGCCTGTTTAGAGCTTTAGTTTCAGTCTCCAAAAGGAGATAACCATTTAACCTCAAAACTGTATTTTGTATACTGCCATCATTTTAAATGTGTGTGCACATGCCTAGTTTAAAACAAGACTGTTTCCTTCTTTTTCCTTTTTTTGGAGTTTGTATCTTTTGAGGATTAGTTTCTTTTTGTTTATTCAGTGAAAAGTTTGGTTTCTTTAAAAAAAAAAAAAAAAAAAAACAAGACGGTGTCATTGGTCTTTCTGCATCTAATGCAAATTTGGTAGGAGAAACTTTGTGAAAACACCGTAATTTGATGTTAGTTCTCCTTTTATTCTCCTTGCTGAACAAAGAGCAAAAATCCTCGTCTTCTTTTCTCTTAAAACTTAAAAAAAGATGCCTGGGGAAAATAGTCGCTATCCAAAAGAACTCTAGTGGGTTTGGCACGAGTTTTTGGGACAGCAAAACGTTTGTGTAAGTGTTCATGGATTGGGCATGGTTGGTTAGAGAGTTTCTTTTCTTTTTTAATGTTTTTTTATTATTATTTATTTCTCCCTCCCTTAGTTTGAATGGAATCCATTTGTTGAGGTTTCAACTTTGCTCAACCCAAATGATCCTGCCACAATTTAATCCAACCTTGAATTTTTGGGGTGCAACTTTGTTCAACTCAATTACAACCTTCAAAAGTCATTGCAAACTTAGAGCATGTTTGGAGTGGCTTTCCATATACTTAAAACACTTATTTATTACGCAAAACTCTGTACAAACTAGAAGACCACGACACTTTCCTACAATGGCATGATAGATAGATCATTGAAGGGTTTGCTATAATGTATAATATGGTTATTTTTTGTTGGCTATTGTAATGTGTTCATAGAGAGAAATCTTAATGCTTTACCGCGAATCAGAGATCTGGTTTTTGAATGTTTGGTGTAGTTGCTAACTAATTCATTTGATCAATTGGTGGAGAACATTTTGTTTATACTTCGATGAACAACTGGCTGAAATTAGGCTGTGAAGTCTATAACTTCGTTTAATTCGTTCTTAGGAAAGTAAAAGGAGAAATTCCCATGGAATCTAATCCTTTATCTTGTTTGTTGGTCCTTTTTCTTTCTTTCTAGAACCACCATGAAACAGAAGTGGCCAAATACGATTTCAGAAACCAGGGTGAATGCAATTGCAGAAGGTTCAGATTCAAGCTGCATCACTTGCCCATTCCCTGCAAATGGGTGCAGTAAGCAAGGAAGGAGTTTAACCTCAAAATTCAAGGGTGTTGTGCCTCAACAGAACGGCCACTGGGGTGCTCAAATTTACGCCAATCATCAGCGTATTTGGCTTGGGACATTCAAGTCAGAAAACGAGGCAGCCATGGCTTATGATAGTGCAGCTATCAGAATCAGGAGTGGAGATTGTCATAGAAACTTTCCTTGGACCAAAGTCACAATTGAAGAGCCAAACTTTCAGACACTTTACACTACAGAAGCTTTGCTTAATATGTTAAAGGACGGTTCTTACACAACCAAATTTGCTGAGTATTTGAGGGACCGTTCTGAAAGTGCACAAACATCAGCCGGCCCCTCTGCAGCAAATATAAATAACAATGAAGGGACTATTAAGCAACTTTTTCAAAAGGAGCTAACACCGAGCGATGTGGGTAAGTTGAACAGATTGGTCATCCCAAAGAAATATGCTGTTAAATACTTTCCTCACGTATCAGCTAGCACATTAGAAAACGTAGAATGTGCCGATGACGATCGTGATGTGCAGCTGATGTTTTTTGACAAAACAATGAGACAATGGAAATTTCGTTACTGTTACTGGAAAAGCAGCCAGAGCTATGTGTTCACACGTGGTTGGAATCGATTTGTGAAGGAAAAACAACTGAAAGCTAATGACACAATAGCTTTCTACTTGTGTGAAGCAGCAAAGACAAATGATGCTAAAACTACATTCTGTGTGGTAGATGTTAAAAATCGTAATGGTGCCAGCTCGGTCGAGAATGAAGCCGAAGAATTGTTATCGCCCAAGAACAAGGACGATGGACTAAAAGGTGATGCTGAAGTTGAGGGTTTCAAATTGTTTGGAGTGCATATTAAGTGAAAGAAGTAAGTTTTGCTATTCCTTCCTCCTTCCATCATTCCTTTTCCATTTTAAGTAGTTTGGTAGTGATTAAACCCTTACCTTAAAAAAAATCATTTAAGGTTATACTTGGGAGATTCTTTTTGGAACCATGCTACAATTAATACGGTCATAAACTTCTGACCGATAGTGCTCTGTTGTAGTTTCCACCCTCGTGACTTTTTGAATGCAACAACGGCGGGGTGAGATTTGAACTTTCGACTTCAAGAAAAATAGTAGATATCTTAACGATTGACCACTCCTTTTGTTTTGTGTTACTTAATGAGTTACTCTTTATGATCACTGCTTAATCTTTGGTTTATATAATTCTCTGTCTCTGTCTCTGTCTGTAGAGCCATTTTATGAAGCAGAAATTCCAAAAACAGCGAGGCTTTTTTAATGTTATTGGTAGGTGAGCAATATAATCATGCAGAAAGGCTTAGAGACTTAGTGGAGTTTTGTTCAATAAAGTAATCTTATCATCATGATTGATTTAAATTGGTGCATTTATTGTATGATTCCTTTTCTCATTCAAAGTATCTTCCTCATCCTAATGTAACTGCCCCATTATTTCATTTATTTAGATTGAAAATGCATACTTTATATTAGCTGCTATATTCGTGTGCTGTTCTAGATTAAACAATAGCTCACCTCATTTCTTCTGAATCATATTGGTTGTGGAAAATCATGTTGACAAAGAAGAGTTGGACATGACATTTGTGGTGGGTCCTAACAGGAACTTTAGAGATGAGAAATATAATCCATAGACGAAGATCGAGTGGTTCAAAAAGTGAGCTGCGATTCCAACCCATGAGGGAGGAGAGAAGAGCTAATAGCCTCAGATTCTTTCATGAGCCATTGGGTGCAACCACTTCTCAAACCCATATATATATATATTTACTTAGCTTAATCATTTCAATATTATCTCTTAACGTTATATTTGTGTGTTCTTTCTTTTACAACTTACGTTTGAGGAAAAAGAGGAAGTTAAAAAGATGAACCTTTTATTGCCTTTCTGAATATTGGAGAAAATAAAGCCAAAAAGAGTGGAATTGTAATAATAATAAGAAAAGATTTGGGCAATAAAGCCAAAAGCCATGTGAAGCTTTGTTCCAAACACATCCCTCCATTTATGTTTAAACATTGCTCTGTTTTCATGTGGCCTCCCCACATGTTACCACTCTTTTCTTTTTCCTTTCTGTTTTCTGTTTTTTATCGTTTTTTCGTTCGGATCAATCTTGTCGCACTAAAATTTTGAAAGTTTGAATCGTTCATCAATGTTGGTTAGGATGTGATTTCGATATCGTATATGTTACGTATTTGAATAATTTGGAATTGAAATTATTGGAGTGATGGAATGGTGGAAGCTCACATATATTGCATGATCTGATCTCCCACATGGCATTAGGAAGCTTTTGGAAATGGAGTAAATATCAGATGCCTTTACAACTCATAACTTATTGTCAAAAAGAAACTAAAATAAATGTAACGACCCAGATCACCGCTAGCCGCAGTTGTCCTCTTTAGACTTGTCCTCTTTAGACTTTCCCTAAGGCTTTAAAACGCGTTTGCTAGGGGAAGGTTCCCACACCGTTATGAATGGTGATTTATTCTCCTTCCTAACCAATGTGGGACATCACAATAAATGAAATGATCAATCTCACACAATAACTGCCCTATAGTTTCTACATCCATTTTGGATCAATATTCTTGTAAATGGGTACTTGGATTCTTTTTTAGAAGGAAAAAGATAACCGGCTCGACTCTTCAAGAAAAAGACTAAAAAAACTTGAGTTTTGTCGAGTGTAGATCATAATAGGACTCGAGGAAGAAGCCTCGACTAATTCTATGCTAGCAATTGCAAAAAGACGGAGGAGTGAGGCAAGTGTTAGTAACAAACATGGCACCTGTATGGCTATCCCACAATCCTGTTCTCTTAGTTTAGGCTGCACCCTTGTTACTCACTGGTACTCCGAGAATCACTCTTTTACTTTTATTTCTTAAACACTAACAAATTTTATAATATATTTTTTTTTTTTTAAAGTGGACATATATGTTTTTTTAAAAAAAATAATAATAATAATATAATTCCAAATGTGTTAAATTATTATATTTTTTAAGTTTAAGATTTTTCTATAAATAATCATAGTGAAGTAGGTGAGTAATTTTTATATTTTAAAAATCAATTTTTAATTTTTAATTCTTGGTTAACACTAAATGTTTGAAATTACCTTAATTTTGTGTGCAATATTCCAAAAATAAACGAAAATGAGAGGATTGATATTGATAATAACATTCAAACTGACACATAAACACCAACAATTTCTGTCAAATCGACAAAGAAATTCAAAGCGCTACAGATTATAATAACGTCTCGACTCTTAATATTATTATTTTTTGGTTTTACCGTCTCCTAAATCTCAACCCGACACTGTCTTCTCCGTTGGTGATGTCCACACAATGTCTTTCAGCGCCGGCCGGAGCTCTTTGCTGCAGAACTGCCTGTATTCTAACGTGTCCCCGTGATCTTTCTTCACCTCTACCACCAGAAACGACGGCGTTACGGCGAAGATCTCCGCCGCCACCGCTAGTTTCCCTTTTCTTCCGCACGCTTCACCCTGTAATCTCACTCTTGATTCGCTCTTTTTTACGCTGAATTTCCCCGCCTTCGCCACCTCTTCCAGCTTCGATATCACACTGCTTGCGGGCCTTGTCGTCGCAAATCTCAGCTCCTCTTTCTCTTCTCTCTTTTTCTCCTCGAACAACGGTGATAAATCGAACCCTTCCGATAAGGAAATTATATGGAAGGCATTTAACGTCTCCGATTGCTTCAATTTCTCCTTGCTCTCGTCGAATTCCTGCTCCTCTTTTGTTATTACAGTCCTCGGCGTGGATTTCCTGAACCAGGAGGACTCCATGATCTTTGATGTTGTAATTCTGCTGCTCGGATTCGGATCCAGGAGTTTGGTTATTAATCGACGGGCTTCCGGTGAGAACCACGGCGGGCACTTGAAGTCTCCTCTGTAAATCTTCCTGTACATCGACACAATATTGTCGTCTTGAAATGGGAGAAATCCGGCGAGAAGAACGTAAAGGATGACTCCACATGACCACAGATCAGCTTTGGCGCCGTTGTATCCCTTCTTCCCAATTACTTCCGGCGCAACATACGCCGGCGTGCCACAAGTTGTGTGCAACAGTCCATCCTGTTTCAGATGCTCTGAAAATGCGCTGAGTCCAAAATCAGTTACCTTAAGATTTCCGTCGTCGTCGAGAAGAAGATTCTCCGGTTTGAGGTCCCGATGATAAACTCCACGGCTGTGGCAAAAATCGATCGCAGAAATCAGCTGCTGAAAGTAAAGTCTAGCCAAATCTTCTCTCAATCGACCTCTGGAAATTTTGGAGAACAGTTCCCCTCCGCGAACAAGCTCCATCGCGAAATAGATCTTGGATTTGCTCGCCATAACCTCATGAAGCTCGACGATATTCGGATGCTTCACCATCTTCATTACAGAGATCTCCCTCTTGATCTGCTCCATCATGCCTACTTTTATCACTTTCTCCTTCCCAACCACCTTCATCGCCATGTTCGTCCCCGTCTTCAAATTCCGGGCATGATAAACCTTCGCAAAAGTACCATGCCCTAGAAGCCGACCTAGTTCATACTTTCCATGGAGAACACCAGACTGACCGTCTCTGTCCTTTTCCGCCATTGATTCGATCTTTTTTCAAATTTAAATTAGAAATATACAAACGATTCTTTCACGCCTTTCTTCTCCTACTTAATTAGAGCGTAGAGATAAGAGAAAATTGAGGAGGATGAGAAAGGGAGAAAATGGATCACCCGTCTTCGACGTGTTTCCGGTGACAATTCCGGCCGCCGATCCACTTGCCAGCTCGACCACTAGAGATGAACCTTGTCAACAAAGCTCCTCTCATCTCTCTGCATTCCCTAAGAGGGCGCCTTCTCCGCAAAATCAGTTACAGAAATTTTCTCTCCAAGTCTTTCAAAGAGCTCAGATAACCGGCGGAAGTTCACTTCTTAGCCCCTTCTATTCTCTGCATCTTCTTGCTCCTTTTATAGCGACGGGATATTCCGTAATTACCTTTTTGTCCCGATAAATGATCGTATGGCTGTTATTCGATCTGATTTGAGCAGGTGTCAGAATCATGGCGGTTGATTCTTTTATTTGCCAGTTTTGACGTCACGCCTTTTTCACGGGCTCCATTGGGGAGCGTAATGGGCCATCGTGGTGGGCTTCATGGCCCACAATTCTAATTTCTTTACTTTTAAAATATTTTAATTTAATTATTATATTTTCGATAAATTTTAAAATCCGGAAACGTTTTTCAATTAATAATTTCTATTTAAGTAAAAAAAAAAAAAAAAAAAAAAAAAAAAAAAAAA